ATCATGCTGATTTTCGAACTTGACCTGCGTATTATGAATATTCATCAGTTCTGTAAGTTTCAAGTCAAAAGGTAAAATGGTTTTCCACTTATCGTGTTATCGGTGCTGCATATATGCTGAAAAAAGTGAAAAAACAGCATAAATTCCCTAAAAGTGACCCGATCATGCTGATTTTCGAACTTGACCTGCGTATTATGAATATTCATCAGTTCTGCAAGTTTCAAGTCAAAAGGTAAAATGGTTTTCCACTTATCGTGTTATCGGTAAAAGTGCACGGCGACGACGGCGACGACAGACGCAGATGATGGCTATATGTACAGACACATCTGTGTCTGTACATAAAAAAATTGGCAATGAGGGAAAACTGTAATACACTGTTTCAATGTACAGCCATTGCAAACACTGTTTCCTTGTGGACAGTCATTATAATTCAGTACATGCTCAGAATATTTCATACCCTTATTGTATTTTACACAAAATTATTAATTATATTTCTAAGCATTGAATATTTGTCAGTAGATAATAATGACTATCCCACTTTGTGACCTGTTTGCAGGGACCTCACTGGTACATATGGTTGGTTTACCTAAGCCATGAAGTTTTTGTTTTTCAGCTCTTTTAAAGATACCATTTTAGCTGTGGTTAAAGGGATAATAACTCTTCATATGAGATCTTTATTTCACAATAAAAACATTGTGAATAACTCATAAAAATATAATAAATTCTGTTTTACCACAAAAACGGCAGTTATAGCTATTATTCTGATATCTGAGCTTGTCTTTAGACAACGTAACCTCCATTGATGGCTATACTTTGTTAAAATCTCTTAAGAGATTTTAACAAAAAACCAAACTTTTTAGAAAAAAACCAGGGACTAACTTTGAATGTAAAAATGGATTTATTAACCATTGGTAAGTATGAGAAAATTGTTGTTCACTCCAGGAAAATTCATTTTTTGGCCAAAACGAAGAGTTATTATCACTTTAACAACTGCTGACAGGGATATTATGTCCAAAATAGATTTGAAAAATTGTGTACAAATATAAAGTTGAGCTTCATGTCTAATGATTTTCATGATGTACATTACATGTAAATCTATTGATATTGCATTCCTGTCGTTGTTTTTCAGCCCTGTTAAAAACAAAGTCGTGGTCAATGATCGCTGGGGCAGTCGCACTCTGTGCAAACATGGAGACTACTATACCTGCCAAGATCGCTACAATCCAGGTTATATTAAGATGTTGAGAATTTTTTGTTGTAATTTTAACCCTTCACTTGTGACATTGGTAAGAAGTGTTGAAAACAGTTCTGAAAAAGTTACATAGCTAAGGACAAAATTTAATATGTTACTCACATGCATTATCTAATTTAAATTGGCCTGATGTAGATAATAAATGAATTTTTTTTGTCAGTTTAGTTTTTTATAATTTAAATATTTGTACATCCATGAAATAAACAACCAATTTATATGTACAGACATAGAAGTTGTCTGCATATACTGTAATCACTTACCTCTAGAAGTTGTCTGTATATATTGTTATCACTCACCACGGCTGGAACTTTTTTTAGTTTCAACAAAGGCAACTCATGGTTTAACAAAATGAATGTTTCAGGCAAGCTGCAGAATCACAAGTGGGAGAATGCCATGACAATTGACAAATTATCCTGGGGTTATCGGCGTAATGCACCTCTCAGTGACTACCTCACCATGGTAGAATTGACCACTACAATAGCTGAAACAATCAGGTAAGAAATTATGTTCTTATGGGCCTGTTTCTCTTTTTATTATTTTCATCTTATTTAATTATCTTATTTTTATTTATTTATTTATTTGTTTGTTTTTTTGCCAGTTGTGGAGGCAATATTCTGGTGAACATAGGTCCCACTGCCGATGGGCGTATTCCCCCAATTTTTGAGGAAAGACTTCGCCAGATGGGCCAGTGGCTGAAAGTGAATGGCGAGGCCATCTATGGTTCAAAACCTTGGGCATTCCAGAATGATACAGCTACTCATGGAGTCTGGTAAGTAAGGCAATATGATTAATGACCCAATGGTGTGTGTGTGTGTGTGTGTGTGTGTGTGTGTGTGTGTCACACCCAAGGTTTTATTTCACATATTCATACAAAAGAATTTCAATTTTGAATATGGATTTGAAAAGCTTGAAAATTGTCATAGTAATTATCTATTGTAAGACATGTAAGTTTTAAGATTTTATATAATTTTACGATTCTATCAACTACATTTGAAATTTAAATTTTAACCCAGTTCTTGAAAATATATATTAGTATATATTTTAATGACCACAATGTCTTTTTTAGAATTATAGATTTTAGTATTGTGAATTATTACAAGTATCATTATTACAAAAAAATTAACAGATATGCATGAACTAGGTGAATTATGTGAAACTTTACTTTCATAGTTTTCACTCATTACCTAAAATATACACGTCTTCACATCATTTTGATCGCCTCTCTCAGGAACAATAGAAATTGTGCAGTAGTTATTATATTCCATAAATAATGTATTCAATACATTTATGTAAATTTACATTCATTTTCAGGTACACCTACCAGAAAGCCACAGATTCTGTGTATGCCATTGTCACAGGTGGAAAGATGCCATTTGGAAAACTGATGCTGGGTGCGCCCAATCCATCTCCTGGAACTCAAGTAACCCTGCTGGGATATACAGGAGGACCCTTTCGGTTTGACAGAAATCCACCAGGGGGCATTGCTATCGATGTCCCAGCAATACCAGCAAGTCAGATGCCGTGTGATTGGGCATGGACTTTCAAATTCACCCAGTTGGCAAATTGATGACATAAGATTCTAAGGCTCTCAGTGCAGCCAGATTGGATCGTTTTGATTTAAATGCTTAAATCTTGTTACCTGAATTCATTTGAGACTACAACCAACTACATTTTTCCAATCAGTTGAGATACATTAAAACTTGCTGACTTTGTCAGCACTGGTACATGTATAAGCATAAAAATGTTTAATTGTCTTCATATTATAGTTAACTGAAAAGCATAATCATTCACATTTTCATCTGTGTTAAAGCATTAGGGATTTATCTATTTATGTATGAAAGCAAATCAATCAAGAAGTATATAATATTGTTAATCAGATGAATCTCTGCATTAAAAGCTGCAGATTCCTCTTTGGCAGTCATACAGCTGTTGGCAGCATACAGCTGTGTTTTTGCAACCTCTACATGTACCGACATAAATGTTAGACAGAAGGCAGATTTATGTACAATTATTACCAATTTATCTTTTCATATCGTATTGTTATCATTGATTTACAAAAAGGATAGATGTTACTTCGAAATGTGTTGCTCAAATGCACATCATTTAACTTATATTGTAGAAATTGATGTGTACTACACATGGAATTGTAAGGTTTTAATTTTGATATGCAACTGGTGTTTATATGGGTTTGATACGGGTGTTTGTTTGAATACCTCTTCTTAAAAACTGACATGCTACTATTATGATGAAAAAATTTAATATGAACAAAACAAGAGCTTGTGATATAAAATACATTCCGTGCAATGTTTGTATGAAAATAATGGATATTAATAGTTATCTGAAACTGACCTTCGTTTCTGAAGAGTTACTGAAATATAATAAAGGATATAAATCCAAGAGAAATAATTTCATTACATTGTGTTATGTAATACAATACATCTAAAGTTTAATACTTTACAATTTTCTAAATCATGGTTTGTAAAATTGTTTTCAAGCCAAGGGGGTTGAACTCCCAAGAAGAAGGACATTGCTAGTCCTGGTATTTTGACTACACAGTACACTCGAAATAATACGTGAAGAGAGAAACTATGTATCTTGGCTTTCTTCGTCCCTAATGTTCTACAGGTGCTGAGCTTTCGAGAAAATTAATTATTGATAACCATATCTTTAAGCAAATGATAGCATTTAAACTTTTTCACTGTATTTTGTTGCATTTCCCTTGATTCGTCAAAATTTAACACCTTTTAGTTTTGACAAAATTTCGGTTTCAAGATTTTTATCAAACCTGCCTTGTACTGTTTAAACATTGCACGTCCTAGATAGACTGACAAAAGAGGCATGTACTGTGCACTTCTCTTTCTTTATATAACAAGGAGGCCAATGGATCAGGGTTAACAACGCCCGCGA